CCCAAACTATAAAATTTGAGAATTAAAATTTTGAATAAGAAAGTTTTTGACCATTTCCAATTATTATTACTCAATTCTATAGTTTGGGTAACACAAATTATTTAAGTAAGAAGGTAATGTCATCTAAAACAATAATCTATTTCCATTACGTGGAACTGCATCCAGAATTGAAGTAGATCCAAGTAAAGGTTTTTATTACTGAATATTGAGCTGATAAGCCAGCACCAACTTGTTGAAGGTCCTAGCAGATTTGTTAACAGACCAATAACAAAGAGAGTTCAAAACCTTTCTGCCAATAATAGCTAGTTTTCCGTTTTTCCAAGTATGAATCTGCTATTCAATGTGTTTCTATGGGCTAATAGCAGTAAGGCCAAATTCAATGTTTCATCCAAAAAATATTTTATATTTAAAAATGGCTGCATTGGGCCTTTAACATGTAAACAGAGCATGGGGCATATTGTACTATTGTGGTTGTAGTATCATGTTATGGGTATGCTTTGTTAGGGGTATCATTTGTCAAATTAAATGTGAAAGGAGCAAAGCCCAGGTAAAACGTTCTCGGAAAACCCGCCTCAGTCATCCGAAAACCCTGGGATAGAGTTTTATTTTTCAGTGAGACAATTCCACAAATGTTATTGCCAAAGACACACCAGAATGGCTTTCCAAGAGGTGTTGAGTGTTCCTGAGTGGTGTAGAATGTCACTGTACCCCTGCGATTACGTCTGCCAACCAGTGCATGTGACTAATAAACTCATCTAATCTACTCTCAGTCCTGACTTCAAAATATGTTTGAAAATTAAAGACAAGGTGTAGTATCGAGTAAATGCTGGTAATTATTGCTGTCAAACAAAGGAGTCCGCTCATACTGAACCTTTGATCATAAGTTTATTCATATCACAAGATTCCAGCATAAGTGACGGATGTCATGACACCCGGAGAGCAGTGTCCTCGAATTGTAATGTCTGCTCTAACCCCCTCTGCCTCCAGCATATACTTATAAAGAATGCAAAAATATGGGTTGCTCCCTCTGCTGTCCAATCACCTGTCTCCCCTGGGGCGTCACCCTACAAATGGCTACTTTTGAACTAAGATAAACATCCCCTCTTTGTTCCTCTAGAATAGTCATAATCTTAATACACTACAAAGGTTTAAATATCACTGTCCATCAATGATCCCCAACCAATTTTACTGAGCGTGAGCAATTTTGACAAAGACGATGGACAAACATTATATATACAAAAGTATGTAGACACCCCTTCAAATTAGTGGATTCGGCTATTTCAGCCACTCCCGTTGCTGACAGGTGTATACAATCGAGCACACAGCCATGCAATCTCCATAGACAAACAGTGGCAGTAGAATGGCCTTACTGAAAAGCTCAGTGACATTCAACATGGCACCGTCATAGGACGCCACCTTTCCAACAAGTCAGTTCATAAAAGTTCTGCCCTGCTAGAGCTGCTCCAGTCAACTGTAAGTGCTGTTATTGTGAAGTGGAAACATCTAGGAGCAACAACGGCTCAGCCGTGACATGGTAGGCCCACAAGCTCACAGAACGGGACCAGCGAGCGCTGAAGCGCTTAGCGCATAAAAATCATCTGTCCTCATTTTCAACACTCACTACCGAGTTCATCTGGAAGCAACGTCAGCACAAGAACTGTTCGTCGGGAGCTTCATGAAATGGGTTTCCATGGCCAAGCAGCCGCACAGAAGCCTAAGTTCACCATGCGCAATGCCAAGCGTCGGCTGGAGTAGTGTAAAGCTCGCCGCCATTGGACTCTGGAGCAGTTCAAACCGGTTCTCTGGAATGATGAATCACACTTCATCATCTGGCAGTCCGACGGACGAATCTGGGTTTGGCGGATGCCATGAGAAATCTACCTGTGCCGATGTATAGTGCCAACTGTAAAGTTTGGTGGAGGAGGAATAATGGTCTGGGGCTGTTTTTCATGGTTCGGGCTAGGCCCCTTAGTTCCAGTGAAGGGACATCTTAATGCTACAGCATACAATGACATTTTATATGATTCTGTGCTTCCAACTTTCTGGTAACAGTTTGGGGAAGGCCCTTTCCTGTTTCAGCATGACAATGCCCCCGTGCACAAAGCGAGGTCCACACAGAAATGGTTTGTCGAGATCGGTGTGGAAGAACTTGACTGGCCTGCACAGAGCCCTGACCTCAACCCCATCGAACACCTTTGGGATGAGTTGGAACGCCAACAGTGAGCCAGGCCTAATCGCCCAACATCAGTGCTCGACCTCACTAATGCTCTTGTGGCTGAATGGAAGCAAGTCCCCGCAGCAATGTTCCAACATCTATTGGAAAACCTTCCCAAAAGAGTGGAGGCTGTTCTAGCAGCAAAGGGGGACCAACTCCATATTAATGCCCATGATTTTGGAATGAGATGTTGGACGAGCAGGTGTCCACATACTTTTGATCATGTAGTGTATGTTGCCCTAAGAGTTGTGCAAAGTTGGTAGAATCTTAATAAAAATGATTCACAGCATTAATGGCTGCCAAAGGTGATTCCCACCAAGTAAAATGTGTAGACTTTCTATAGGCAGAGTATGTAAAATGTATTGGTAGCTTATTGGTAGGTTTAAATGTGAGGTACTAGTCATGTAAAATTAAATCAGTTTAGGTCACACACAAGCTTTGGTGTGAATAATCACATGTAATTGTTTTATTTGCTTAGAAACAATACTTGCTTAGAAACCTCTCCCTTAAAACTATATGACATACAGAATATCAACAACGGTATAGTACCTATTTAGCTGAATGATATACAGAATATCAACAACGGTATAGTACCTATTTAGCTGAATGATATACAGAATATCAACAACGGTATAGTACCTATTTAGCTGAATGATATACAGAATATCAACAATGGTATAGTACCTATTTAGCTGAATGATATACAGAATATCAACAACGGTATAGTACCTATTTAGCTGAATGATATACAGAATATCAACAACGGTATAGTACCTATTTAGCTGAATGATATACAGAATATCAACAACGGTATAGTACCTATTTAGCTGAATGATATACAGAATATCAACAACGGTATAGTACCTATTTAGCTGAATGATATACAGAATATCAACAACGGTATAGTACCTATTTAGTTGAATGATATACAGAATATCAACAACGGTATAGTACCTATTTAGCTGAATGATATACAGAATATCAACAATGGTATAGTACCTATTTAGCTGAATGATATACAGAATATCAACAACGGTATAGTACCTATTTAGTTGAATGATATACAGAATATCAACAACGGTATAGTACCTATTTAGCTGAATGATATACAGAATATCAACAACGGTATAGTACCTATTTAGCTGAATGATATACAGAATATCAACAACGGTATAGTACCTATTTAGTTGAATGATATACAGAATATCAACAACGGTATAGTACCTATTTAGCTGAATGATATACAGAATATCAACAACGGTATAGTACCTATTTAGCTGAATGATATACAGAATATCAACAACGGTATAGTACCTATTTAGTTGAATGATATACAGAATATCAACAACGGTATAGTACCTATTTAGCTGAATGATATACAGAATATCAACAACGGTATAGTACCTATTTAGCTGAATGATATACAGAATATCAACAACGGTATAGTACCTATTTAGCTGAATGATATACAGAATATCAACAACGGTATAGTACCTATTTAGCTGAATGATATACAGAATATCAACAACGGTATAGTACCTATTTAGCTGAATGATATACAGAATATCAACAACGGTATAGTACCTATTTAGTTGAATGATATACAGAATATCAACAACGGTATAGTACCTATTTAGCTGAATGATATACAGAATATCAACAACGGTATAGTACCTATTTAGCTGAATGATATACAGAATATCAACAACGGTATAGTACCTATTTAGCTGAATGATATACAGAATATCAACAACGGTATAGTACCTATTTAGCTGAATGATATACAGAATATCAACAACGGTATAGTACCTATTTAGCTGAATGATATACAGAATATCAACAACGGTATAGTACCTATTTAGCTGAATGATATACAGAATATCAACAACGGTATAGTACCTATTTAGCTGAATGATATACAGAATATCAACAACGGTATAGTACCTATTTAGCTGAATGATATACAGAATATCAACAACGGTATAGTACCTATTTAGCTGAATGATATACAGAATATCAACAACGGTATAGTACCTATTTAGCTGAATGATATACAGAATATCAACAACGGTATAGTACCTATTTAGCTGAATGATATACAGAATATCAACAACGGTATAGTACCTATTTAGCTGAATGATATACAGAATATCAACAACGGTATAGTACCTATTTAGTTGAATGATATAGGCAGATAAATCCTACATACCACTTGATTATACATGACAGATGAAGACATGAAGAGATGTAAAGGAATGATCATAGCGCTGATCTGTGGCTAGTAAAGGTAGAGAAGAGATGCAGACTCTTACTGTAGCCGAAGAGTATAGACAGTACTGAGACTATTCCATACTACAGGAGTCTACATCAAACCAAGTAGCCAATAAGCTCAATGCCCTATCCAGGAGTCACTCTCCAGAGGTGGAAGGCTTGTAGGTTTCACACTGGTCCCCGGTCATGTGTGGGTCACAGGTGAGACTGTAGGTGAATTGGATGCCTCCCCAGGTGGCCCCACACTTCTCTCTGTGTGTCCCCTGCTGGAGGAGGATGGTACAGCCCCCCTAGTAGGTCATCGTTAAGCATGTCTTGATCCCAGACCTCCACCGTTAGCTTCAGGGTTGTGTCCACGTGCCCCATGTTAAAGTCAGTGTTCCACACAGGATCACAAGATTCGATCACAGGGTTTGGTTTGGTCCGAAATGTGCCGTATTGGACCACAGCATACCTGTAGCAAGTAGAGAAACGGGGAGTTGGAACCAAAATGGAGATAAATACAGGGGATTGCTCTGGGTAATTAATTACTATTCAATTACTATCCCAGCTAACACAATTACGTTCCAGGACGTGACCACAAAGTTATTTTAGTCCCCACATAAGTCATGATAACGTTATTGTGAAACTTACAGACGTTGTTCCAAAATGCATTTCTATCACTCTGATTGTAACGTCATATGAAGACATTTACATTTTAGTCATTTAGCAGACGCTCTTATCCAGAGCGACTTACAGTTAGTGAGTGCATACATATATATTTGTTTCATACTGGCCCTCCGTGGGAAACGAACCCACAACCCTGGCGTTGCAAGCGCCATGCTCTACCAACTGAGCTACACGGGACTACAAACCATAGCTCTAAATTCAACATTATGAAATGTTCCTAGGATATCTCCAGAATAACATGATATTCAGAACCTTTCATGGACTACCAAGGAACGTTTTTAATGTTCCCATGATGTCTGTATAGCGACCTGATATTTAAAACCTATATAATACTTATTAGAAACGTTATGAATGCGCCTATAATGTCCCAAACAGGCTATGACATTCAGTACCTCTGGAAGACTTAAGGGGAATGTTACAAATGTCTCAGTTACGTTCCTTGTTAGCTGGGATGGCATGCCACAAGAGGGTGATCCGACCTTATAAACTGTAGCTCCTGGCTACAGGATCAGGCTGGAGACCTGCAGCAACTGGCCTGTCACTAAAACTAGCCTGTCAGTAAAAGTGGCCTGTCACTAAAACTGGCCTGTCAGTAAAAGTGGCCTGTCACTAAAACTGGCCTGTTAGTAAAAGTGGCCTGTCACTAAAACTAGCCTGTCACTAAAACTGGCCTGTCAGTAAAAGTGGCCTGTCACTAAAAGTGGCCTGTTAGTAAAAGTGTCCTGTCACTAAAACTAGCCTGTCAGTAAAAGTGGCCTGTCACTAAAACTAGCCTGTCACTAAAACTAGCCTGTCAGTAAAAGTGGCCTGTCACTAAAACTAGCCTGTCAGTAAAAGTGGCCTGTCACTAAAACTAGCCTGTCACTAAAACTAGCCTGTCACTAAAACTAGCCTGTCAGTAAAAGTGGCCTGTCACTAAAACTAGCCTGTCACTAAAAGTGGCCTGTCACTAAAACTAGCCTGTCAGTAAAAGTGGCCTGTCACTAAAACTAGCCTGTCAGTAAAAGTGGTCTGTCACTAAAACTAGCCTGTCAGTAAAAGTGGCCTGTCACTAAAACTAGCCTGTCAGTAAAAGTGGCCTGACACTAAAACTAGCCTGTCAGTAAAAGTGGCCTGTCACTAAAAGTGGCCTGTCAGTAAAAGTGGCCTGTCACTAAAACTAGCCTGTCAGTAAAAGTGGCATGTCACTAAAACTAGCCTGTCAGTAAAAGTGGCCTGTCACTAAAACTAGCTAATGCTATCATCATCTACTGGTTGTGGTGAATCCCAGCCACATACAACTCTCTCTTCTCCTCCTTTCTAGCTTCCTTTCCTGTGTTGCTTATGACATAATTTGTGTGTCCTTTACAGTTGATTGAGAAATCATTGAAAGTAGATGGCCCCTTTTTCAATTATTGACTTGGAATTTCAGTTTACTTCCTGCATTGACTGACTTCAATTCGAATTGACCCCAACTCTTGCTTGTCTGCATTCCAAATGGTACCCTATTCTCTGTATAGTGTATAAAGGAGTGCACTACAGGGAATAGTGTGCCATTTGGAACATAGACCTTTACTCCAACCCAACAGTCTCACACCTGGTTCAGCCACTCAAGGGCTTGGTGATTAGTTAGTTGACAAATGCGCTGGCTGAGGAGCAGTAACATAACCTACGAATGAGTGACTCCAGAAAACCAGTCTCCTGCCAGTCCCCAGGCTTTGTTCACCGTCACCGCCAGTGTTCCCTTCGAGGCCTCTGAGGCAGCAGTTTGAGTCCAGTTTAGAGTCAAGGCTCCCACAGGACGGTTCTCTGGTGCTCTCTGGGAGGGCGTTCTCCTTCAGGTACTCCAGGACAGTCTCCTTTGTATTTTGAACAAAATGTTAACATATTAATTGACATATAAAATATAACCTAAGATCCCCATTTTAGGTTTTATTTATGCAGCCTTTGACACCAATCTCTAGAAAAGAACAGAAGAGAACAGAATATAACAGAATAGAACAGAATAGAATAGAATAGAACAGAATAGAACAGAATAGAACAGAATAGAATAGAATAGAACAGAATAAAACAGAATAGAACAGAATAGAATAGAATAGAACAGAATAGAACAGAATAGAACAGAATAGAACATAATAGAATAGAATAGAATAGAACAGAATAGAACAGAATAGAACAGAATAGAATAGAATAGAACAGAATAGAACAGAACAGAACAGAATAGAACAGAATAGAATAGAATAGAATAGAATAGAATAGCCTTGATGTACATAATGTATATCAACAACAAAAGGCCACCTTCACCCTCTCCCGGACCCTCTTGTCGGGTATGAGCAGGTACAGAGGTCTCAGAGAATAGGAGATGGCGTCAGGGTAGTCCTTCAGGGTGCTCATCCAACTATGGAACCCCACTGAGTCGTTACGGTTGAGTGACAGCTCCCCCGGCCTACCGGAGCCTCCCACCACCTTGGTGTGGTGGCTGAGGAAGCCAGAGCTGTAGGAGGTCTTCGAGTCACGGTTGTCCAGAACTTTGGAGCACCTTTCATCGCTAGAGGAAACTTTTGTTCTCCCCAGGCCCACACCTAGACCTGTGGACAAGCAGTCTTCCACCTGAGGAGGTGATGTTCTGAATTTTAACCAATGCTATGTAACTAAACCAATGCTATGCAACTGAACCAAGGCTATGTAACTGAATGTCTAGACCAGGGGTGTCAAACGTCCGGCCCGCGGGCCGGATCAGGCCTGCAAATGGGTTTAATCCGGCCCGCGAGATGACAAAATATATATATATATATATATATATATATATATATATATATATATATATATATATATATATAATAATTTTGTAAAGTATAAAAATGCGCTGCAATTTTTCAATAAAATAATCTGCTGTTCCAATTGCGTCCACTGGATGGCGCAATAGCAATTGTGTTAAGCAAGCAAACTGTTTATACCAGGGCAGAGCAAGTAGGTCAAGCACGTTTAGCCAATGAGCTACTTTGTTTTGCCCGCGATATTTATTACGGCTTCTACTTTTAACATTATGTGCTTTGGCACCCTCATTGCCCCAATATGTCTCTGTCAAAAAAGAGAAAAGTGGACGCAGAGTGTTCCAAGAAAAATGGTCATCCTATTTATTAACGGAATTGAATGGGAAAGCTGTATGTTTGGTGTGTTCAGAGCATGTTGCAGTGCTGAAAGAATATAACCTTCGTCGCCACTATGTGAGTCTTCATGCCGACAAATATGACAACTTTCAAGGACAGCAGAGATGAGAGAAGGTGAATGAACTGTTGGCGGGTCTGAAGAAATAGCAGTCTGTGTTTACTCACAGCCGAGACATCAGTGACGCTGCAGTGAAAGCTAGCTACCTCATTGCTAATGAAATCGCAGTGGCTTCAAAACCATTTAGTGAGGGTGAATTTGTAAAAACATGCATGATAAAGGCAGCGGAGATTGTGTGCCCTGAAAAGCGGCAGGCTTTTGCAAATATCAGCCTGACAAGAAACACAGTTGCAGACAGGATTTCCGATCTTTCAGTGGATTTGGACAGCCAGTTGAAACAAAAAGTAAAGTCATTTATTGCGTTTTCGGTTGCAATTGATGAAAGCACGGACATTACAGATGTTGCACAACTGGCCATTTTCATCCGCGGAGTTGATGACACATTGACCGTCACCGAGGAGTTCGTGGAGTTGGTGCCGATGACAGATACAACGACAGCAGCTGATATTTTTACCGCACTCGTCGGCGCGCTGGACAGGGTCGGAGTGGACTGGTCCCGCGCTGTCAGCCTGGCTACAGATGGTGCGCCCTCAATGATCGGGAAAAAAGCAGGCGTTGTGACAAAGTTCAGAGAGAAAGTGCAATCTGCAAATGGAGGACGTGATTTTTTGACTTTTCACTGTATTTTGCACCAGGAGGCTTTGTGTTGCAAGTCATTAAAGATGGATAACGTCATGAAGGTGGTCATCCAAACTGTTAATTTCATCCGATCCAGAAGCCTGAATCATCGTCAGTTTGACAGCCTTCTCAGAGAGAAAGACCACATCTATGGTCTGCCATACCACACTGAGGTAAGATGGTTAAGCCGAGGTGCTGTGCTGAGGCGTTTCTTTGATTTACGAGAAGAAATTGAACAGTTCATGGAAGAAAAGGGCAAACCAGTGTTAGAATTTCATTCCGCAGAATGGATGCAGGACCTTGCATTTATGGTGGATGTTACAGAGCACCTGAATAACTTGAACAAACAGCTGCAAGGGCGCAACAAAGTTGTCACGCAGTATTATGACAGCATACGTTCTTTCAAGTTGAAGCTGTCATTGTGGGAGACGCAACTTGCCGGTGGTGATGCAGCTCACTTCCCCTGTCTGAAAAATGTGTGCGCGACCCAACATGTGGCAGACATGAAGCGGTTCAAAGATACAATAACGGGACTGTTACGGGAGTTTGAGCAACGCTTTCAGATTTATGTTTATATGTTTTTATGTTGATGTGCTATTGTTTTTAATTGATTTTATTTTATTTGTATATTTAACCTATTCTTGACTCTGTGGTTCTTGCACTTGTTTGGGGAACAGGATTTCATTATTTTTATCTACATTTCTGCCTGAGAAATGACACCCTGATATAGTTCTGTGATCTGTGATATACTTCTGTGAATCACTGAGGCATTGTGTGTTTGTGTGTTCTTTGTCCTCAGAACTTTCAAATAACTTGAGGTGTTTTATGATTAATAGTGATGTTGTGCTTTTGGACACTGTCCTCAGGCTCCAGCTTTATGTTTATATGTTTTTATGTTGATGTGCTATTGTTTTTAATTGATTTTATTTGTATATTTAACCTATTCTTGACTCTGTGGTTCTTGCACTTGTTTGGGGAACAGGATTTCATTATTTTTATCTACATTTCTGCCTGAGAAATGACACCCAGATATAGTTCTGTGATCTGTGAAACAGTTCTGTTAATCACTGAGGCATTGTGTGTTTGTGTGTTCTTTTTCTTTAGAATTTTCAAATAAACTTGACGTGTTTTATGATTAATAGTGATGTTGTGCTTGTACTATTTTGGACACACTGTCCTCAGGCTCCAGCTTTATGTTATACCATGATTTTTCCGGTCCGGCCCACTTGGGAATAGATTTTCCTCCATGTGGCCCCTGAGCTAAAATGAGTTTGACACCCCTGCTCTACAGTATCTACAGTACCAGTCAAAAGTTTGGACACACCTACTCATTCAAGGGGTTTTCTTTATTTTTACTATTTTCTACATTGTAGAATAATAGGGAAGACATCAAAACTATGAAATAACACATATGGAATTATGTAGTAACCAAATTTTATTTAAACAAATCACAATATATTTTATATTTGAGATTCTACAAAGTAGCCACCCTTTGCCTTGATGACAGCTTTGCACACTCTTGGCATTCTCTCAACCAGCTTCATGAGGAATGCTTTTCCAACAGTCTTGAAGGAGTTCCCACATATGCTGAGCACTTGTTGGCTGCTTTCCCTTCACTCTGCGGTCCAACTCATCCCAAACCATCTCAATTGGGTTGAGGTCAGGTCATTGTGGAAGCCAGGTCATCTCATGCAGCACTCCATCACTCTCCTTGGTCAAATAGCCCTTACACAGCCTGGAGGTGTGTTTGGGGGTATTGTCCTGTTGAAAAACAAAAGGTAGTCCCACTAAGCACAAACCATATGGGTGAGATGTATCACTGCAGAATGCTGTGGTAGCCATGCTGGGTAAGTGTGCCTTGAATTCTAAATAAATCACAGACAGTGTCACCAGCAAAGCACCCCAACACGATCACACCTCCTCATCCGTGCTTCACCTACTCTGCGTCTCACAAAGACACGGCGGTTGGAACCATAAATCTCAAATTTGGACTCTTCTTCTTATTGGTGTCCTTTAGTAGTGGTTTCTTTGCAGCAATTCGACCATGAAGGCCTGATTCACACAGTCTCCTCTGAACAGTTGATGTTGAGATGTGTCTGTGACTTGAACTCTGTGAAGCATTTATTTGGGCTGCAATTTCTGAGGCTGGTAACTCTAAGTCACTTATCCTCTGCAGCAGAAGTAACTCTGGGTCTTCCATTCCTGTGGCGGTCCACATGAGAGCCAGTTTCATCACAGCGCTTGATGGTTTTTGCGACTACACTTGAAGAAACGTTCAAAGTTCTTGAAATGTTCCACGTTGACTGACATTCATGTCTTAAAGTAATGATGGACTGTCGTTTCTCTTTGCTTATTTGAGCTGTTCCTGCCATAATATGGACTTGGTCTTTTAACAAATAGGGCTATCTTCTGTATACCACCCCTATCTTGTCACAACACAACTGATTGGCTCAAACTAATTAAGAAGGAAAGAGATTCCACAAATGAACTTTTAACAAGGCACACCTGTTAATTGAAATGCATTCCAGGTGACTACCTCATGAAGCTGGTTGAGAGAATGCCAAGAGTGTGCAAAGCTGTCATCAAGGCAAAGGGTGGCTACTTTGAAGAATCTCAAATATAAAATATATTTTGATTTGTTTAACACTTTTTTGGTAAGTACATGATTCCGTATGTGTTATTTCATAGTTTTGATGTCTTCACTATTATTACACAATGTAGAAAATAGTAAAAATAAAGAAAAACCCTTGAATGAGTAGGTGTGTCCAAACTTTTGACTGGTACTGTATGCTATAACATCTATAGTCTGGCGTATCTATAGTTTCTCGGTGTCTCTAGTCTCAGTAGTCTATGTACTCATAGATGCTATAGTCTCTATAGATTCTACAGTCTTGCCGCACACAAATAGAATAACACCTGCACTTTCTCTCATTCACTCAGTAGTTCATAGTAATAATATCTCTTATTCTCTACATTTCAACACTCTTATCACTAATAATATCTCTTATTATCCTAATTTCAATCAACTAATATCCACATTTCATTCCTCTTAATATCCACATTTCAATCAACTAATATCCACATTTCATTCCTCTTAATATCCAAATTTCAATCAACTAATATCCACATTTCAAACCTCTTATTATCCAAATTTCAATCAACTAATATCCACATTTCAATCAACTAATATCCAAATTTAATCCCTCTTAATATCCAAATGTCAATCAACTAATATCCTAATTTAATTCCTCTTAATATCCAAATGTCAATCAACTAATATCCTAATTTAATTCCTCTTAATATCCAAATGTCAATCAACTAATATCCTAATTTAATTCCTCTTAATATCCAAATGTCAATCAACTAATATCCTAATTTAATTCCTCTTAATATCGAAATGTCAATCAACTAATATCCTAATTTCAATCCTCTTATTAGGCCTCTTCCACACTCACCCAACTCTCACATCCACAATCACCTCATGCTATTACTTGACTAAGACTAGTGGTACCCTCCTAGTAGTCCCAGACTCAGGGACCCTCCTAGTGGTCCCAGACTCAGGGATGCAACAATTTAAGAATGTGGGGGGGGGGGGGGGGGGATATGTCCAGACTACAGGGGTCCCAGACCACATATACGTCTTCTCCATTTTTATGTTTAGTTTAATTGGTTTTATCATTTATTTTTAATACAAATTCATTTAAATTGAATGACTGAAATCAGTTGGCGTGTGGTGTCTCCTCATGGGCAGCTCACAGTGAAGGTCTGGTCTGGGCCTCGTCGTCTTTTGGTCAAACGGGAATTTCACTTCATAAAATGCGCCACCGGTTTTCCTCGCAGACCCCCACTGGAAAGCTCTGCAGATCAAATCAATCATTTTTTTCGTGATGCCAAACTGTCGTGGAAATTACCACCAAGGACACCTGAAGTCAATCTTAAATGAATCATTCTTTATTAACAGCAAGCTGGTGAGGTCACAGCCAAACTTAGATGCATAAAGTAGTGGTCTGAAGTGAGCTCCGTCGGGGATCCCGTTAGATCTCTTATATACTCCTTACATAGACATGTTACATGGTCATTTTTCATAGGGTTGGTTCCTACATGTGTCTGGCACCGTCTCCTATCTTAACTTATAGAACATATTCTGGGTGCCAGATGGTCCTAAGGAGGAGGTCATGTCCCCCCCCCTCATATCTTTACCAGGCACAGGCAGGAACCAGGGATTATTTACGACCCGAAAGACAAGATGAACATTTTCAAGGCTGTCTCTTCACACGATAAACTTTGGAGGGATCAACATGTATTAAAAATCTGTCACTTGCATGAACCCAGTCGAATTGGTTATTAGAAAAGCACAAACATAACATTTTCCATCACACATATTGAAATGATTCCCCTTGTTTCCAACGTGGTTCCTGGTGAGCTGTACAGGCAACAGACCCACTGCCTGGAATGAATTTACTCCAACATGTGTTCTGGGGGGTACATTATACAGAGATGTAAAACAACCATAGGTATAGGAGCGCTGAACTCTGGATAGAAAAGAGATGCTTACTCTTACTGTAGAGTGGAGTAGAGTGGACTGTGGGGGTGGAAAGTTTGTATGTTGTGGCGTTGGAAGGTTTGTATTTTTCACACTGGTCCCCGGTCAAGTGGGGGTCGCAGGTGAAGGTGTACAGGAAATAAAAGCCCCCCCCCACTGTTGTTGCACCAGCGTTCATGTGTCCCCTGCTCGAGGTTGAAGGTACAGTACTTCAGCTTGTCATTATAACCCATAGGATCTTCATCCCAGACCTCCACCTTTAGCATCAGGTCTTTGTCGAAGGGACCCATGTCAAAGGTAGCATTCCAGACAGGATTGTTGGACGGAATAACATTGGTCTGATGGGACTTGGAACCGTAGGTGACCACAGCGTACCTGTAGCAGGTGGAGAAACAGGAAGTTGGAAACAAAATGGAAAGATTAAAATACTATGGCGTGCCACAAGAGGGCGATCAAACTCATTCCATGGAGGTCCTACTGTATACTGGTTTGAGTTATTTCTATTCAATTAAGACCTAGACAACCAGGGGAGGGGATTTCCTTACTAATTAGTGACCTAGACAACCAGGGGAGGGGATTTCCTTACTAAATATTGACCTAGACAACCAGGGGAGGGGAGTTCCTTACTAATTAGTGACCTAGACAACAAGCAGAGGGGATTTCCTTTCTAATTAGTGACCTAGACAACCATGTGAGTGGATTTCCTTACTAATTAGTGACCTAGACAACCAGGTGAGGGATTTCCTTACTAATTAGTGACCTAGACAACCATGTGAGGGGATTTCCATACTAATTAGTGACCTAGACAACCAGGGGAGGGGAGTTCCTTACTAATTAGTGACCTAGACAACCAGCAGAGGGGATTTCCTTTCTAATTAGTGACCTAGACAACCATGTGAGGGGATTTCCTTACTAATTAGTGACCTAGACAACCAGGTGAGGGGATGTCCTTACTAATTAGTGACCTATACAACCAGGTGAGGGGATTTCCATACTAATTAGTGACCTAGACAACCAGTTGAGGGGATTTCCATACTAATTAGTGACCTAGACAACCAGGGGAGGGGAGTTCCTTACTAATTAGTGACCTAGACAACCAGCAGAGGGGATTTCCTTTCTAATTAGTGACCTAGACAACCATGTGAGGGGATTTCCTTACTAATTAGTGACCTAGACAACCAGGTGAGGGGATTTCCTTACTAATTAGTGAACTAGACAACCAGGTGAGGGGATTTCCATACTAATTAGTGACCTAGACAACCAGGTGAGGGGATTTCCATACTAATTAGTGACCTAGACAACCAGGTGAGGGGATTTCCATACTAATTATTGACCTAGACAACCAGGTGAGGGGATTTCCATACTAATTAGTGACCTAGACAACCAGGTGAGGGAAATGTCATACTAATTAGTGACTTAGACAACCAGGTGAGGGGATATCCATACTAATTAGTGTCCTAGACAACCAGGTGAGGGGATTTCCATACTAATTAGTGACCTAGACAACCAGGTGAGGGAAATGTCATACTAATTAGTGACTTAGACAACCAGGTGAGGGGATATCCATACTAATTAGTGTCCTAGACAACCAGGTGAGGGGATTTCCATACTAATTAGTGACCTAGACAACCAGGTGAGGGGACTTCCTTACTAATTAATTAGTGACCTAGACAACCAGGTGAGGGGACTTCCTTACTAATTAATTAGTGACCTAGACAACCAGGTGAGGGGATTTCCTTACTAATTAGTGACCTAGACAACCAGGTGAGGGGATTTCCTTACCAATTAGTGACCTTGACAACCAGGTGAGGGGATTTCCATACTAATTAGTGACCTAGACAACCAGGTGAGGGGATTTCCATACTAATTAGTGACCTAGACAACCAGGTGAGGCGATTTCCATACTAATTAGTGACCTAGACAACCAGGTGAGGGAAATGTCATACTAATTAGTGACTTAGACAACCAGGTGAGGGGATATCCATACTAATTAGTGTCCTAGACAACCAGGTGAGGGGATATCCATACTAATTAGTGTCCTAGACAACCAGGTGAGGGGATTTCCATACTAATTAGTGACCTAGACAACCAGGTGAGGGGACTTCCTTACTAATTAATTAGTGACCTAGACAACCAGGTGAGGGGACTTCCTTACTAATTAATTAGTGACCTAGACAACCAGGTGAGGGGATTTCCTTACTAATTAGTGACCTAGACAACCAGGTGAGGGGATTTCCTTACTAATTAGTGACCTAGACAACCAGGTGAGGGGATTTCCTTACTAATTAGTGACCTAGACAACCAGGTGAGGGGATTTCTATACTAATTATTGACCTAGACAACCAGGTGAGGGGATTTCCTTACTAATTAGTGACCTTAATTCATCAATCAAGTACAAGGGAGGAGGGAAAACCTGCAGACACATGTTGGTGTAAAAGGTTGAAACAACTTTTATCACAATACGATAGTAATTCTGTCTTCTTGTTTCTCTCTCTCTTTTTCTCTCTCTCGTCTCTCTTCCCTTCTTCTCTTCGTGGAATGAGTTTGACACGTGTTATAATCTGTAGCCCCTAGGACAGGGTTTCCCAACCATCTCCTTGGCCCCTCCCCTAGATTTCACATTTATCTTTTAACCCTAAACTGGCACACCTCATTAAATTAGTCAACTAATCATCAAGCCTTTGACTAATGGAATCACATGTGCCAGTTTAACAAACCTGGGGGAAGGCTAGGAGAGGGTTGGGAAAAGAGGGACTACTCCAATTGGCACAAATTGCTTGTGTGACATCATATTGCTTGAGTGACATCATATTGCTTGTGTGACATCATATTGCTTGTGTCCCAAATGGAACCCTATTCTCTGTATAGTGTATAAAGTACACTCTTAAAAAAAAGGGCCCATCTAGACAAAAGGGGTTTTTTGGCGTCCCCATGGGAAAACCCTTTGAATAAACCCTTTTTGCCAGGATAACCATTTTGATTCCATGTAGAACCCTTTACACAAAAGTTCTACCTGGAACCAAACGGGTTCTACCGGACCAAAACTGCCCAACCCTGTTTCCTTTGAGACAAAACCGTCCGGGAGGTTTTAACCCCAAACCCCTTTTTTCTGGGACTACCGTCCGGGGGTTTTAACCCCCAACCCTGTTCCTGGAACTAAACCCCCGTCCAGGGTTTTAATCCAACCCGTTTTGAGAGTACCCCGGGTTTTTTTAAAATCCAACCCTGTTTCCGGAGAGCAAACCCAAGGTTTTAACCCCAAACCCCTTTTCCGGGAACAAAACCGCCTGGAGTTTTTAACTCCAACCCTTTCCGGGGGCTACCGCCTGGATTTTTAACCCAAAACCCTTTTCCCTGGAGAGCTACCGTCCTGTGGGTTTTAACTCCAACCCTGTTCCTGGAGAGCTACCGTCCCTGGAGGTTTTAACTCCAACCCTGTTCCTGGAGAGCTACCGTCCTGTAGGTTTTTAAACTCCAACCCTGTTCCTGGAGAGCTACCGTCCTGTAGGTTTTGAACTCCAACCCTGTTCCTTGGAGAGCTAACCGTCCTGTAGGTTTAACTCCAACCCTGTTCCTGGAGAGCTACCGTCCTGGAGGTTTTACAACTCCAACCCTGTTCCTGAGAGCTACCGTCCTGGAGGGTATTAACTCCAACCCTGTTCCTGGAGAGCTACCGTCCTGGAGGTTTTAAACTCCAACCCTGTTCCTGGAGACTACCGTCCTGTAGGTTTTAACTTCAAACCTGTTCCTGGAGAGCTACCGTCCTGGAGTTTTTAAACTCGAACCCTGTTCTTGGAGAGCTACCGTCCTGGAGGTTTTAAACAACTAACCCACCCTGTTCCTGGAGAGCTACCGTCCTGGAAGGTTTTACCTCCAACCCTGTTCCTGGAGAGCTAAACACGTCCTGGAGGTTTTAACTCCAACCCTGTTCCTGGAGAGCTACCGTCCTGGAGGTTTATACTCCAACCCTGTTCCTGGAGAGCTACCCCTGATTTTTAACCCCAAACCCTTTTTTTCCCGGGAGGCTACCGCCTGGATTTTTAAAACCCAAACCCTGTTCCGGGGAAGCTACCGCCGGGGTTTTAACTCCAACCCTTTTCCTGGGGGCTACCGCCGGAGGTTTTTAACTCCAACCCTTTTTCCCCCTGGAAGCAAAAACCGTCCGGATTTTTTAAACTCCAACCCTGTTCCGGGAGCTACCATCCTGCTTTTTTTTTAAAACTCCAACCCTTTTCCGGGAGAGCTAAAAACCGTCCTGGAGGTTTTAACCCAAACCCTTCCTGGGACACCGTCCGGATTTTTTAACCCAACCGTTCCTGGAGCAAACCGCCCTTAGGTTTGAACCCACCCTGTTCCTGGAAGCTACCGTCCTGTGGGTTTTTAAACTCCAACCCTGTTCCGGGGAGAGCTCCCTCCGGGGAGGTTTTAACTCCAACCCGTTCCCCTGGAGACAACCGCCTGGGTTTTTTTTAACCCCCAACCCTGTTCCTGGAGAGCTAACCTTCTGGAGGTTTTAAAATCCACCCTGTTCCTGGAGAGCTAACCGGTCCTGGAGGTTTTAACTCCAACCCTGTTCCTGGAGAGCTACCGTCCTGGAGTTTTAACTCCAAACCCTGTTCCTGGAGAGCTAACCGTCCTGGAGGTTTTTAACTCCAAACCCTGTTCCTGGAGAGCTAACCATCCTGGAGGTTTAAACTCCAACCCTGTATCCTGGAGAGCTAACCTCCTGTAGTTTTAACTCCAACCCTATCCTGGAGAGCTAACCGTCCTGGAGGTTTTAACTCTCAACCCTGTTCCTGGAGAGCTACCGTCCTGAGGTTTTACACCCCAACCCTGTTTCCTGAGAGCTACCGTCCTGGAGGTTTTAAAACTCCAACCCTGTTCCTGGAGAGCTAACCATCCTGGAGGTTTTAACCTCCAAACCTGATCCTGGAGACTACCGTCCTGGAGGTTTATACTCCAACCTGTTCCTGGAGAGCTACCCGTCCGGGAGGTTTTAACCCCAACCTTTCCCGGGGGAAAGCAAACCGTCCTGGGTTTTAACTCCCCCCCTTTTTTCCGGGGGCACCACCCGGGAGGTTTAACCCAACCCGTTCCGGAGAGCTCCGTCCTGGAGGTTTTTACTCCAACCCTTTCCGGGTGAGCTACCGTCCTGGGGGTTTTTTAACTCCAACCCTGTTCCTGGAGACTACCCGTCCTGGGGGTTTTTATACTCCAACCCTGTCCGGGAGAGCTCCCACCGGAGGTTTAACCCAACCCTTTCCTGGAGACCTACCGTCCTTGGTTTTAACTCCAACCCTTTTCCCTGGAGACTACCGTCCTGTGGGTTTTTTTGCCCAAACCCTAACAGCGCCCCCTGTTTCTAAAAATTCTCA